TTTATCTTTTATATTTTTCTCATATTTTATGTCAACTCACGCAAGAAAAATCTGATCTATTATAATTAGAAAGTTTATCAGACTTCAATTTAACATTCTTAGAGAGGACTGCTTTTAAGTTGTCTTTTCAATACTTTTTAACTTCACAGATTTCTGAATATAAATGTTTCTTTCAGTATTTAAAACAGAAACTTTTAGCATATTCCAGATTTCAAGATAAAAACATGACTCTTTTTTTTTTCAGATAGACCCACTTCTACCCTTATAATTCAAATAATGAAAATATTTTTATTTGCAACTGTAAAGTGGGTTATCTACATCACTAGATATGTGAACTATTTAAAAATTTGAGCTAATCATAGCCTGCTCTATCATAAGCCATTAAAAAGCTGCTGGGAAGCAGCATTCAGTTGCACATGCTTGTAATCCCAGCAACTCAGGAAGCTGAGGCAGATTCAAATTCAGCCTGGGCAACTTGGTGAGACTGTGTCAAAATTAAAAAGGGTGGATAGGCTGGGGTTGTGGCTCCGTGGCAGAGCGCTTGCCTTGCACATGTAAGGCACTGGGTTCGATCCTCAGCACCACATAAAAATGAAGAAATAAAAATATTGTGTTCATGTATGACTAAAAATATTTAAAAAAAAAAAAAAAGGGTGGAGATGTAGTTCAGTGGTAAAATGCTTTCCAAGCATTTGTAAGGCCCTGGGTTTAATAATCAGTACTGGGGGAAAATATACACACACACACACACAATGTTACTTCAGATGTATATACACATTTTACAACAGCATCACATATGTATGTTATGCAAAACATAAAAGTTTAGATTGCAAATGTGAAAGTACGTTTGGAGGACAGGAAAAGGCATAGGCAGATTTGATGTGGTTTTTTTTTTTTTTTTTTTTTTACTGGGGATTGAACCCAGGAGGCTCTTAACCACTGAGGCGCATCCCCAGCCCTCTTTTGTATTTTATTTAAAGACAGGGTCTTTGCTGAGTTGCTTAGGGCCTCATGAAGTTGCTGAAGCTGGCTTTGAACTCATGATCCTCCTGCCTCAGCCTTCCAAGCCGCTGGGATTGCAGGTGTGCACCACCAGGCCCAGCAGATTTCATCGTTTTAGCGAAACTCCATTACAATAAAAATTTCTGTAGAACAAAATCTATTTTCCAGTCCTAACTAGTATTCTACTTATTTAATGGAAGAATTGGATATAATTAATATTAAAAAAGTAGGTTTTGGAAAATCCCTTTTAGTCACTGGGAGAATTTTACCTGCAATAGTAAGGAGAACATTAACAATTTGAGGTAGCAAGCAGGTATGTTTTGCACTAAAGGGAAATTTAATATTGACTAATAACTGAAGAGCTAAAAACAAACAGCTTAGGGCTTAAGAGTGTAGGCTTTAAGGTCTGACTACTTCAGTTTAAAATCTAGCTCTACTCTTTACTAGTTGTATAGCCCTGAGTTTTCATCTCTATATCAGGGATGATGAGACAATGAATTAAATGAGCCAGCACATAATAAGTACTTCAACAATTGTTAAAACCTATTTAAAAACTTAAACATACAGTATCTGAATTTCTTTCATCCTTGATTTTCATTTTGTAATTCTTTCACACCTTATCTACAAAGGCATGTAATTAATGAATGTGAATATAATAAAACCTAAAGCCACCAGAATGCTTGGAAAATGAATCATTCTGAATACTTCAATTTTCCATAGAGTACCTTCATAGTTACCCAAAAATAGAGGGAAAAATCAACAAATGCGATAAAACTGTTGCCTCAATATATTACACACTTCAATACCTTCTTAAAGTATACTGGTTGTAATTAAACTTTTCCTGATGAATCACTATAGTTAGGAATATCAATTAGAATTGTACATTAAAATTTCACAAATCTGATTTCAAGACTTAACCTAAGCTTTTTAAACATGCAGTTCATGGATAAAAAAGAGGGAATGAGGGCATGTGTGAGCTTGGGTGGGAAAAAAATTACACTTTTACTTATGCCTAAAAATTTTGTATTCCTTCAACAATAATATTAGCTATACCTACTTTTGTATTACCAATAGATGGTTCAGATACTTTATATCACATTACAATTATTGCAAACTCTGGAAATGTCATTTAAGTTCATTATTATTTCAAAACTTTGGTCTTCATCAGACCCCCCCACTAGATCTTCCTTACTGTTAATAAAGCATATGTTTACTTTAAATAAAGCACATGTTCACAAGTTTGTTTTTCCTTAATCTTTGATAACTGTATTTCACATGTTTTTCTTTATATAGAATACAATGAATTTCATTTTATACATGTATAAAACATTATTCTGAAAGTGGTGGGTGGTTTTATCAGATTGTCAAAGTGGTTTGAGGCACAAAAAAGTTAAGAACTCTGACCCCAAATTTTTCCAGTCTATTGTGCTCTGTTAATCCACAGCAGTAATGTTCCATCATACCTTTATACTGAAGCTTGTTTAGATTAAGGTAACTCAAATTGGTTTCTCTGGGGCTTTTCTTCTTGGACCTCCCTGGATATTATGACTTCCCCTTAGGTAAATGGGAATGTTTCCTACTATTCTTGTACCCTGGCTTCTAACAAAATGAAATAGGAGAAATAAGTTAGATTCAGATGACATTTAAAGTAGAAATATAAAACATGTTACTCTATGAAATAAATATTCTTAAATTAAGCATATGAATTCAAATTCTCCTTCTATCACTTAGGATAGAAACCTAATCTGTGCTTCAGTTTCTTCATTTGTAAAGGGGAGCTAATAAACACAATACCTGGTAAAAGTTGCATAAATTTTACCCATACCTATTATTACTATTATACATTTATTTCACAAAATGGCCAGTTAATGCCTGAATGTTTACTTTAATAACTTAACATGTATACAACACTGTGAAGTCTTCAGGGTCCTTTCACAACTTTATGACATCTGAACCACACAATAATTCCACGTGAAAGGATAGTTATTATTACATCTAGTTTAGCAGTGAAGAAATAGAAGATTAGTAACCAGACCTATATCACACATACGGAAGCAACCAGCAAGAACTTAGAACCTAAGTTTCTCCCTCCACCCTCATGCCTAACCTCGTGAACTGGCTAGCTAGAGGAGAGAACAATAAAGATTACTCAAGAAGGAACAGAGGAAAGGGACAGAGGTATCCAGTAGACCATGACTGGGGCACTTACAGAATGGTTCAAATCGGCGTAAGGGGGTGGGAAGGAATCCGCATCACCTGGGAGTTTGTTTAAGATGCATAATCTCAGGCTCCAGCCCCTACTACTAAATCAAAATCCGCATTTTGAACAAAACTCCAGGTGACTTCTATTGACATTAGTTTGAGAAACACTCTTTAATTGCTCTAGTTCACTATATGTTCACTTGAACAGTATATTAGACCATTTATCACTAACCTGTGAAATTTTTATTACTTTCTGCAAGTTTTTCTAAATCAAGTATATTTTAAAAACAGGTGTATTTTTCTATGTAATCCTTTTGTAAGTGGGATCATTGAGCTTCAAGCAGCCAACATATATATATAGAGAGAGAGAGGGGGGGGGGGGTTCTGGGGCTCAAATTCAGAGATTCGTAACTCGCTAAGCAAGTGCTCTACACCTAAATTATATCCCCAGATAAAAAGTTAAGGTCCTACTACTTTTTGCCTGAAAGATACACTGAAAAGCAAAAATACTCCTACCTTACACCCAGCAGATTAAAATAGGCCACTGCTATCTGCACACCCCCGCCTTTCGCCGATATTTCAGTTAAGTATTAAGTTTTTCTAACCCAAAACGCTACCTGATTTCTTGGAGCTTCACCACTTTCTGGCTCAAAAACTGAAACATGGCAAGAGAAAGGGGGGGGGGGGGGTTATTGAGCCTGTTTTCACATCTAAACCTTGCCGTGTGGCGGCGAAGGACTGTAGAAATGGCCCGCCCCTAACCCTCCCCTCTCTACTCAATTCATAATTAGGATTTCGAAGCTGCTGTAACTCTGGGATTCGAGCTGGCCTGCTCTTAGTATTGAGCCCCTGGGGTTAGAAATGCACTAATTTCGGCACCGGGGAAAGCTATCAGCTGTCGGCCTGGGTCTATTTTACATTACAGTTTCTATTTTGCTAGGCGCCTCCTCTCGCTGGGTAGCCAGCCCACGAGAGCAGGGGGAGTAAATACCATTCACCTGTTCCACCGGAAACCTCAGAAACTCCGCTCAACCTTGACTAAAGGTATCTACTAGTTAATCCCTGGTACCTCCCACCGCACATTCCTGATTGGGCGCGTGAGCGAGGGATGTGTCGGCGCGCGCTCAGATCAGTCGGGGGAATTCCATTTCCTCTCCCTCCCACCAGCATAAGCATTCAGGGGCGGTGCTTCCCCGGCAGCGACCTGTCCCTGTTCCAGCCGGCGTCCCAGGGCATCTCGCGATAATTTGTGATTTGGGGGCGGGACCCAGTCAGGAAGAGCGCACAAAACTGCCCTTAAGTCATTGCAGAGCTGCAGCTCCGGTTAGCCGGCCACGAGGTTCTCGCGAGACCCGCCTCCTCAATACCAAGTGAGGAAACTAGGGGACGAGGTTGGGAGGGGCGTGGGACTCCACCGCGCAGCTGCTGCTTTCATTACCTTCCTCCCATGGTCTCCTTCCGGTTCTCGATGCTTCTCTGAGTCTGTTTCCGCCACTCGTCTCCCCCCGCCCTCAGCCCATGACCCGCCTCCGTCCCCCGCCCTCCCAGTCCAACCTCAGATCCGTTTAGTAAGAAGGGGCTGTTCCGAAAAGGACGAGAAAAGGGGGTGGCACAGATTCGCTCGGCCAGGGACGTGGGAAGTAAACCGTTTCCCTTCACCCTTAGATTCATCCTGTGCTTGCGACGGCGGCGTTGGCGGACTGATACGCGGCGGTGAAGAGGCAGGAGGAGGGGGGAGGGGCGGAGCGTGGCAGCTGGCAGTAGTTCCGTCAGAGCGGACATCTTGTGGCTGTGTCGTGCGCGTGAGCCCCGTAGGGCCGGGGAGGCACCAGCTGCCGCGCGGGGAGGAGGCCGAGGCCGCAGCTTGAGGGAGGCCCCGGCCCCTCTGTACGCGTGGGTGTGGACAGCTAGGGGAAGGGAAGGGAGGCCGGCCCACTGGCCGGCCGGGTAAGAGGGGAAATACGGGCCCTGGGTGGCTTGAGTGGCCAGCCTGTTGGGTTGGGTGGGGTAGGGCGGGGAGGCTGGAGAAACCCGGGCCTCTTCTACTTAAAGGGGAGGGGGAATGGGCGCGTCCTCGCGCCTAAGCCGGAGCTTCAGGGGCAGCACGGGCGCGTGGCGGTGGTGGTGGCTAGGCGGGCGCGCGCGAGAGCGCGCTGGAAGGCGGAGTGTACGGTGGCGTCAGGGGCTACACTGAATAGCTATAGCTTCGGGGAGAGGAACACACATTAAGTCTATTCCTTCATTTCCTTTTCTACCCCGGCCAAACCTTCGAGCCGAAACCGAAAGAAGCCCGGCGTCAGTCCGGAGACTCCTGTTTCCCCCTCCCCCCTTGCCTTTCTTTGCCCTAGTGACGCCGGCATAGCGCCGACTAGGCCCCGGCTCCTCCTCTGCTGGGCTCCGGACCCTGCCCCGCACCCACCCCTTTCTCCTACGCTTCCTCCTCACCCACCCGGGTCTCTTCCTTTGGAGAGACCGGGAAGTTAAACTTGTAGCCACCCCTCCGTTCTTCCCGTCACCCTCGCCCCCACTTCGGTCCGAAGCACGGCATAGAGGCTGTTGGTGGCTTTGCCACCCCACCCACCCCGGATCGCGACCGTTTTAAGGGACCTGGAATCTTCAGGGTCTCTCCGGGGCCAGTGCAAGTGCTGATCTGCTCCGTTTTTGCAAAAAGGCGCCTGTGTCTGGCACAGCGGTGTGAGACGAAGAGACAATCCTTCCCCGCCGCCCGGATAATCAAGAGTTTTGGCCGGACCTTTGAGCACACACCGAGATAGTGAGGAGCCAGACGAAAAGCACAGACTATGGCGCTGAAACGGATTAATAAGGTATATTGTTGGGACTGAAAGGAATGGGGTCGTGGGAGGAAAGGAAGACCTGGGCCCGGAGGAAATCGGGGTGGAAGGGACGTATAACTCTGAAAATACCTCTTGGGGTTACTTCTTTCATTGGGAGGTGGAAAAAGAAGATATGCTTTATGAAATGAGGTTTGAGACTGGGGAACAGAACACTTGTGGCAAGCGAGGTGTTATTCTATGTCTCATTGGAATCGGTGCTGATTGTGAGCGAGAAAGAGACTTGAGGCGCTTCGATTTTCTACTCTCCGATTAAGGTGTTGGAATTGCGGAGAGACGTTCCAGCAGATGTCACGATGCTTCGTATTCTTGGTTCTTCGAAAATTTTTTTAGTTCTAAGATAAAGGCTCTAGGCTTTCTCGAGGGGAAAAGAAAAGGTAGTAAACTAAGAAATGAGGAGAGCTGTGAGTCCCGAACTTTACTGAGGGTCAGGGTGGAACTCTGGCCTGCTGAAGTGAATGAAACTTGGTCGACTCAGGAAAGGTTACACAAGAATGAGTATGGTTGGGAGGAGGTGGACTGACACAGTGTTGCCACTTCCTATGTTTTGTAGTTGCAGCTTGCACCCGAAGCTAATTTTCCGAGGCACCGGGAACTGATGTAAAAGCCTCTGGAAGCTCCTTTTTTCTTTTGGCTTGGAAGGGGGGATGGCAGTAAAGGGAAACTAGGTGTACCTATTTTTTGCTTCTGCCCATTTAATAACAGCTATAATAAGGATTGTTTCGCTGCTTGAAATGTGGTTTGATAGTAAATTATCGATCTAAGTAAGAAAAGGCTAGGATTTCTCAAAGCTCTGGGGGTGAGCGGAACCTCCACCTCCGGTGGTTTAGTCTCATTTTCTTGCTCTAACTTCTGTCCCGCATTTTAAGATGGCGGCTGCTTTAACTGGTTCAGGCCCTTTCCGGCATCTCCTTTCGTAATAATATGAAATAATATTCTTTGTTAAGTGTTAAGTTTTATATCGGATTGGACCCTGCTCTGAGACCCACTGCTCGAAATTTACTTAAATTCATACTCTCAGACTGTATTTACCTTTTGTGTAACTTGTGTATGTGTGCTGTATTTGGTTCTTGCACAATCAAGGAGGGTGGAGTATTTACAGCTAACTTGAAAAAAATGTCATGGAATAAATTCAGCCTTACTAGAAGATAGCACACAAGGGGAGGTTTTAGGATAAAACTTTGGTTTTGATAGGATACTTTATAAAGAGAATTCTACAGAAGGAATGGCAAGGATTTGACTTTACCAAAACAGGCTCAGTGCTGCTTAATTTGCATTTACTAAATATAACTTTGGAGTTTGATTGGCAAAACTGCTGTTTGATGAAAGTTGAAATCTTAACTCTTAAGATAACTAATGCTGAAATTGTATTGTCACTATGGGTTGATGCAGAATACCTGTGTTTTTTGAAATGATAGCAAAGGAAAGGAAGAAGACCTTTTTAGGATTTAAGACTTTTAAAGATTATTTTTAAATAATAACCTTTAAGTGACCAGAGGGCAAACTCACATAGGATCCTAGTTTTATTTTACAGCATACTTGAGAACATAATATTCAGTACAAATCAAAATTTTTTGTCTGGAAGTAGTTCAGGCCACTACAGTGGAGAATAATCTCACATTTTTATCCGTGTGGAATAAAACACTTTGAAGGAAGGTCTCATTGATTTTTTTTCTTTTACAGGTGATACCCAGCTGCTGTGACACTACTTTAATGATTTAAAAACTCTAGAGAGGCAGTAACATAATGATAGAGTGTGACCATTGAGGAGAAATGCTTCAATTAGAATTGTAGCTCGGAGCAGATTTATCCATGTGTCTTTATTAGATGGGTATTTGTTATATATTAACAATAAATTCTTGTGTGCCTAATAGATTTCTAGGCACTGTTCTAGACACTGGGATGCCAGCAGTAAAAAGAAATCTTAAGTTTCTAGGTATTTTTGAGGACACATGGGTTACTGTGTGGCTTTGAACAGGCCTCTGGCATGTCACTCTTAATAGTTACAAAAGAATACTATTGCTTTTTAATATCAGTGTATAATTCACATGAACAGGTTTGGTTTGTTTTTTAACTATGATTTCTAGTCTAGCAATTAATACCAGCTTATCTCTTGTTCAAACTATTATAAAGAATTATATAAGACTGAGTCTTGACATAAAACACTTTTCGAATTGGAGAACCAGTGTTTCTGGGACATGGTTGATCCAACCTGTAGAAAGTTTTAACTTGTTTGTGGTTTGATATACCACATGTGAAGCTTTTAAAAAATATTCCCAGGTCCAAAAAGTTTTATTGAGGGGACAATTCTGAAGGGGTTTCTTTTTCTTTTAACCTTCCTCTTAAGGAATCAAGTTAACCATTGGTATCAGTATGATTTTTGTTGTGCTTTCACCTACTTTGAATTTATTTGTATCTGAAGTGCCCCAAGACAGATATTGAGATATGTTTATATTCTTCACAAATATATTACTGGAATACTTTGAACTTTTAATAATTTGTTTGATCAAGCCATAGAACAATTTTTTTTCCTTCAGTATGATTTTTTAGTATGGCTATTTCTTAGACCAATCAAATAATCTTACCCTTTGTCTTTTGTTGTAATTTTTATCTGTACCAGCCTGTATTGTGGTCGTAAGTAGGTCTATTAGGCAACAAAAACCAAAAAAGTGGGAACTCCAAAATGATTGGTGTTTGGGGCCATAGGTACCACTCCCATTAAACAAAATGACTGCAGTACATATGTTTTGAGGATATCTTCCTTTCCTTTGCTATCATTTCAACATCGAACATGAACCAAACCTAAAAGAAAACTCATGTTTTCATAATTTACAGTATAACTATTTGAAACAAAACTTGTATTAACTAATTTAAAACAAGGAAGTAGGTGCACTTGTATCTCTATTTTGAAATCAGAAAACTGGCACAGACGCTGAGGGAAAACGCCTAATTTCATATGTGGCAGAGTTGGGATCAAAACCCAGGTCATTTGGTTCCCTAGTGTTCTCTTAACTACTACACTTGTAAATGATCTATTGGGTTTTGTCATTTTAAAAGGTTTACTTTGCATATACCTGCTACTGATAAAAGCCTTTACTATATATTGAACACTTTCTAACTTTGAGTATTAGCTCCATTTTATAAATGAGGTTAACAGGCACAGAGACAGGTTAAGTTACTTATCTAGTCCCATAGCTAGTAACTAAGGTTCAAATCAGATTTCCACCTGAAGTAAGCTTCTCTTACCCATTTGATATTTTAAAAATGGGGATTTCACTGCTATAACTAGTTATAACTGATTGGTGTATTAAGAATATATGGGGCTGGGGATGTGGCTCAAGTGGTAGTGTGCTCGCCTGGCATGTGTGTGGCCCGGGTTCGATCCTCAGCACCACATACAAACAAAGATGTTGTGTACGCCGAAAACTAAAAAAAAAAAAATTAAATATTAAAAAATCCCCCCCCCCAAAAAAAAGAATATATGAAAGGAGTGAGTTTAATTTTTTAAGTGCTAGAAACTTCCACGTGTCAGTTAAGTGTTAGAGGCATCTTAAAGTGAGCAAAATACACTTTCTGTCCTCAACCAGTCTACCAGTCTATAAGCTGGATGCACTTGAGTCTTGAGAATGTTTCTTTTATATGGTCCTAAGGTGGTTTTACAGCTGGCTTACTATGCAGGATAGGTGCTTAACTGAGTGATGTGATCATATAATAACCTCATTGTTTAATTTGAAAAATGGTGGCTGATACTATCCCTCTCTTTCATTCTTGTGGCTCATCTGCTACTAATTCTAGTTTTTGTTAATCACATAGATGTAAAGTTGAATACTCTTGCTAGCATTGGGAAAAACTGTATGTCAGTTCTAAGTTCAGGTGCAACTTGTTATCCAAGATAAAACTCTTGAGGATTTTCAAAAGCATTTTGCTATAATGATTTCTTTCTGTTGAAGAAACTAAATGTTCAAATTCTTAAATCCTAGATTGACTTTTGTACTAGTTTTAAAATAGCAGCTTCTATTAGTGTATACAAATCCGACTGTATATTGTATGTGTGGGTTTTAACAGTTGGATTTTAATTTCAGAATGCTCAGTTTTTAAAGAATAGCTACATAGAGTTTTGAGCTTAACTGAATCATTTTGTCTGAAAACAATTTTGAAATGATTTCTAGGTGATGCCGAAACCCCTCTTATTCTGAATTAAGAACCCCAGTTGTAGAGGATAATAATCTAATCAATATTAACTGGGGCTTAATGCTTAATCAGTGTTGGGCATGATTATCTAGTCCCAGGGGATGAAAAATGAGGAAGACTCGTTACCCAGGAGAATCTCTTTGGAGAAAACAAACATATAAACTTTGTACAACTTCACTTTCAACAATGTGTTAGTAATGTTTAAAAGAAGTTAAGGGGAATCTTGATGTTCATACAAGGTTTGCTTATTACTAAAGATAGGTTTATCTAAACTACTGTACTACTTTGTCATTGTTACTGTATGGCTTTTCTTTTACAAGTACTTGATTCCCCTTGCCAAAACAAATCAGTGTTTTGAAATTGACAAAATTAAACTGTTTTTATTCTCTAACTGGAAATTTTGTCTTGATTTGGTCTTGCTGCCATAGCAATGATCTTACATCAGTATTGAATAGTATAATTATCAGATACATTAATGTCTTACTAGCCAGTTTTCTTAATAAGATTTATTCTCAGAACGGTGTCTTGGCCTTGTTATATGGGGAGGGGAAAAGTTCAATGAACTGTTGTTTTTTTCTGGTACCTGGAATTGAACCCAGGGACATTTATCCACTGAGCCATATCCCCAGCCCTTTTTCATATTTTATTTAGAGGCGGGGGTCTCACTGAGTTGCTGAGACTGGCTTTGAACTTGTGATCTTCCTGCTTCAGCCTTCGGAGCTGCTGGGATTTCAGTGAAGTATTTTTATGCCTTGTTTAAACATCTGAATTGTATCTTCCAG